GGATGGATAGATGGATGGATGGATAGATGGATGGATGGATAGATGGATGGATAGATATATGGATATATAACGTTCACCAGCGATAGATGGATGGATAGATAGATAGATGGATAGATAGATGGATAGATAGATGGATAGAGATAGATGGTAGATGGATAGAGAGATAGACGGATAGATAGATGGATAGATAGATAGATGGATAGACGCATAGATGGATGGATAGATGGATGGATAGACGCATAGATGGATGGATAGATAGATAGATAGATAGATAGATAGATGGATGGATGGATAGAGAGATAGATGGATGGATAGATAGATGGATAGATAGATGGATAGATGGATAGATGGATAGATGGATGGATAGATGGATGGATAGATGGATGGATAGATGGATGGATAGATATATGGATATATAACGTTCACCAGCTAAATAGCTACAATTCGCTATCGAAATAGCTAATGTTCCCTAGCTAAGTACTGTAGCTAACGTCCCCTTGCTAATTAGCACCCTGACATGGTAATTGAGTTTGGTCTCTAGTTTAACTTGTTTGCTTTTTTAATTTAATGTCAACACTGGACCTTTGTCAACCCTTCTGGCAGTGAGAGTTATTATAAAGCCTCAGTGAATTTCCCGAGGATAGAGGAGTGAACCGTCCCGTCCACCAGGATCTCAGAACAGCCCTCGCTTCTTTCTATCTTTCTATCGTCAAAGAAAGGCTTGTATATTTTGGAAATGTTTAACATTTCAAGCTTTATAAGAAACCCACATTTCAACTTTTACAATTCTGATTCAAAGTGTTTTTGAATAAGTGTTAAGAAACTGCAAGAGACAAACAATCAGCCATTTCTTTTCTGGAATAAATAAGTTTCCCTGTGGAGTTTCATTTCAATCAAACAATAGTTCATTTTAAATTCAGTGTTATTCACCAAAACCAAGTGAGGTTTTACAACGGTGTTGAAACTGTTTCCTCCAAAAACATTTATCATCATAGTATTTTGAATCCTGCATTTTTTACATAATTTTTTTTTGTGCATTACCACCACCAATTTTCTATTTGCACACTTACTTGTGGTGGTGAAGTTGCATTATGGGAAATGTAGGCATCGGGTTTAGTCAAGAAATTAGAGATGAGTGTAAAAAAAAAGACAATCTTTAATGGTTTTACTGCATCGATTATGATTCTATTTAAAAAAAACTGTCCATTGTGAGTCGAGTCAGACGGCTAAAATAACTGGATGGCCTACCTGCCTGTCAGCCTTCCATCTGTGCACAAACTTATCTCGTGCCCTCATTGGTCATGTGCGCGTTCGTGTGTGTTGGAGGAGGGGCTCTGTAAGGAAGTCTGAAGGAAGGGGCAGATTTTTCCGGTTGTGTATTTTCAAATTCTAGCGCACTCGAGCTGGTTTCTCCAAAATTACCTACCCCACCTTTAACAGAATGAATAACAGTTTTTCTTCTGATGCATAGAAGGCAGACTGCTAGACTCAAAATTCAACGTTTTTGTTCTGTATCGCAGCAGAGAAAAGTCTTAAATCCAGTTACATTACACGTCCTTGTTAGGAATGGTTAGGATATGTGATGATTATATCGTTTGTAAGGAACATAAACAGAATACATAACTGTTTTATCAGATGCATAAGAGGCAGTGCTAGATTTAAAATATTACCAAGTTTTTACAACAGAGAATATTCTTTAAAGAAATCCTAATGTCCTTGATAGGATGCCACAGCAGAGCCATTTGTCAAATTGTAAAATCATTTGCGATATCATTTCTGTCGTCTCAATTATTTTCCTCTGCTGATTTTCTTTTGGCAAGCTCCCCACACGTTGACCACAGACAGAATCTTAAAGAGCTCCGTTGATAGAAATCTTTATTTGACGACCTCCCTGTGAGACTGCCCTAAATATGTGATGATGATATCGTTTGTAAGGAATATATACAGAATACCTAACTGTTTTATCAGATGCATAAAACGAGATTTGACCAAGTTGTTACTGTATCACAGCAGAGAATACTCTTTAAAGAAATCCTAACACATGACATGTCCTTGATAGGATGCAACAGCAGAGCCATTTGTCACATTTGTATGTAAATGTGTTATATATATCATTTCTGTAATCTCACTTCTTTTACTCTGCTGATGGCAAACTCCCACCACGTTGACCACTGACACAATCCACTTGACGCCCTCCCTGTGAGACTTCCCTGCGCAGTGTTTACCACTCGATGGATGCTCGGGAGGGTCACTCCTGCGTGAGAATAACAACTTAATTAAAACACACAAGCCTCGTTTGTTGCCCTCCCCTTATAGACGGTGAACAGTGTTTACCATTCTGCGCGCCGACCCTTTGATTCAAGTTTTCCGACACCCTTCTAACACAATCAGTCCTCGTTTGAACACAGTCTCGACTACTCTCGGGGAACCATACATATGCATGAGCTTCTGCTTTACACACACTTGATGCGCAGCAGCCCTTCCCGTCGCACTCTAACAAGCAGCTTTCCTTCAAGTCTTTAGTCCTCGTTAAAACATTTATTTGCAACATTACGCTGCATTAAGTCCTGCTAAGACACATTAGTATAACATTCTTTAAACATCTGATGAAGAATAGCATCGTGGGGGTGATTGTGAACCTACGGAAACACAGCTTACCAATGAAGTGTAATGTCTCTTTCTGTTCAAAAAACATACACAAAATGATCAGGTGTTTGAAACTCTTCCTTGACATGTTGAAAGATAGGAAACAGCAGAATGTATGCCTTTACTTCTCAATAAGGGACTGACCAAAAATGATTTGTAGTGTGACGAAAAAATTACTTTTTACAGCCTAGAATATTAAATGTCTAAGGCTTTTATTGTCAAATTTGATAAGGAAAGGATGTCAGTTCTGTCTTTGCCAAGGTTGAAATAACTAATACTCTTCTGTCTTCTTACGTGTTGTTTAAAGAGGATATGAATGATGCTAATGTTCAGGTTAATATTAGTAGTTAGTGTCTCTACTGTGACTTGTTGGGATGTCCCGCCCCTTACCCTATAACGTACAATGTGTTGAGTTACATAGTGATGTCACAGATATTTCTGTATAAAAGTTGTCATAACAAAAAAAACTGCACCAACTTAAATATTGATGCGTACATTAGTAAAAATGTCTAAATCCACTTCTTTATTTTAACGTTAAATAGCATCTTTTATTTAGCTTAGTATTTCAATTATTTAATTCCTTTCCTCTTTTAGTTTGTAATAGTGACAGGGGGTTGGAGAGGCAATTTTCTCCGAATTAACGAGAAGGATCCAAATAAAATATTAATAAACCTGGGAGTAGGAAGACCGTGCTTTTCAAAACATTTAACCCCCCCCTCCGTCTTCACCTCAAAAATGTTTGGTACAGTCCCAAAGAGATGTCGGTTAGCCTTTCCATGACCTACTATAATGCACATTATGTGGAATTTAAAAGATGTTTTAATCATCACTGCCTCCCTGGCGACATTAAGACATATCTTAACACTTTCTGCAGAGTGTCTGTAATAGCCGTAATAAAGAGGAACAAGAATTTCCTAGTGGTCGACGCCAGAGACGGTGAATCATCGTCGTGTTGAATGTAATGGCACCATAACGGCCCGTCCACACGGCGGCGTGCGTTGAAGCTTCGAAGCTTCTGCCCATTCACTTTAAATGGGGTGACGTCACGCTTTGCCGAACTGCATTGTGGCTCCGTCGCTTCGCTTTGCTCGCTTCAAAAGTAGAGCAATGTTCTACTTTTGAAGCTTCGACGGAAGCGTCAGCCAATCAAATCATATGCCAGTACAGTGTTTCCCACAAAATTTGCTATTTGTGGGGGCACCGCACCGCACCCCCCCCCAAAGTTCTTATTGCTCTGTGTTGTGTTGATAATTAGTGAAACACACCGGAGTTGAGGATCTGTGGGATTTATTCTCCCAAAAATATAATTTACAATTTAGGCATTTACTGTAGCAGACGCCTTATTCCAAAGCGATTTTCAATGACCAATTACAGGGACATTCTCCCTGGAGTAACCGAGGGCTAAGTGCCTTACTCAAGGGCACACTAGTAGTGATGTTCCAGGCAGGATTTGAACTCGCAACCTTCCGATCTTTTCCCCGCCCCGGTGTACCCAACGGACGTATGATACCGATCCTGCTGCAAAGGACACACCTTCAGATTGCCTGGAAGTTTCAAGTGCTATGTTCCTGGTAAGCTCCTTTCCTCTGACTAATGTCCGGAGAGACCACTCTATTTACATATAAAGACGCACGTAGCGACCCACTCACATCCCTGGTTTACTGGGTTATGTATGGAGAATGGAGTGACTCTCTGTCTGTGAGACATTTGACGTGTGTGTTTTGATTGGACCTGCGAGAAAGAAGTTTGTGTTTACTCCACTGTCTTTACCACAAAAAAAGAAAAAAATCCACTTTCACAATGTCAGTTATCACGGACGTAACGAAACATCGACGAGAGGACCATCCATCTCTCTCTCCCTCTCCACCCATATATTTTCAATACTAGGACCCTTTACCCACAACAAAAAGTCTATATTACAAAGTCGCATTGTGTCGCAGGTGTGCCGCCGCACGAAACTTCGAACGGCCACCCCGCACAGACTTTGAGCTGGTTGTTGGTTAGTGTACTTAGAGGGCGGGGGCCTGTGTGTTCCTGCGCCACAAACTAGCCGATCTCGAACATGCGTCACAAAGGGTATGTAACTAAATAAACACCCGCCCGGCGCTGTTAATTTATAACAGGCGGTGTTTACCTAGAGTATTAATTTTTTTTTAATAATATATTATTAATTATTATATATAAAAAAAAAAAAAAAAAAAACCACCAGATTACCTAGCACTCNTCCACCGCCGTTGCGAGTCTCCGGCTGTAACAGTCCACTAACGCCCGCGAGGACCCAGGTTTGATTCCGGCCTGAGGTCCAAAATATTAATAAAAAAAAATAAAAAACTCCTGTTCATCACGTCCATTCGCGACCCACCTATCACATCTCTGCGCCCCACCAGCGGGGCGCGCCCCACACTTTGAGAAACGCTGGACTAGTGGTAGCACTCTGAACGAGCTCTGCAGCTTTACTATAAAAAGCACGCTTAAATCCGACCAGCTCAATACTATATCACACATTTATTTATTTAATGATCATATCATCTTTCGGGAACTATTCATTTGATTTTTTCAACCATGGTGAAGACGAAATCGACAAAGCTCTGCGCGGCGGTGGGAGGCCCCGGAGAATCACCGAATTAATTAATCAATTATTTTGTATATGTTATTGTAATGTAGAGACAAGGCTTTTAGTGACAATCATGTATTGCGTTACAATTATATACAAAAAAAAAAAGTCTAAATATGATCATCTTCATCACACAAGATGAAAAAAATAATAATAATAATAATAAAAAAAGATTTTTTTTTTTTTTTTCTTCATCTTGTCACTGAGGGCCCTCTTTACTCAAGGGCCCCTGGGCACTTGCCCAGGTTGCCCATATGGTTAATCCGGTCTTGCCCTGGCCACTCTACAGCCAACCAAACAGAGTCTCCTTAATATGCCGCTCTATTTAACCTGCCAGATCTCTCTATTTATGCTTTGCTTGCTGCTGCTTTGCTTCAGCTACTTCCACGTCGCTGCTGCTTGCCTGCCCCACCACCACCCCAGCTTCCACCTGTAGGCTCGGGGGGTTAGTTATTTAATCATCACTCATGGTGCTATGTATATCTATGGAGTGATGAGGCCCGAGCCTAGTCGCCAAACTCAACTATGCTGCTTCTAATAAACATGTTAAAGAAACACGTGAGTTGTCTGACTGAAATTGAAATCATGATTCCCTTTGACCCTGTTGAGTGGAATAATGAAAATTGTCAAGCCTAGATGATTAGCCTCGTTTAATTTATTGTCTCTGTATTATCAATGATTTCACACTTCCAATACTCACTGTGGAAACTACTTTGCACCAAATCAATCCACAGAGTAGATGAAGATCATAAGAAGAGTTATTGCACTTATTTATCAGCCCAACACTTTGCATGTAAACAGCAGAAAAACATTCAGCTGGTTCTTTTGGAGACTAACCTGTCGATGATGCCGCACATATCAATCTGCAGGTGGCTGTAGTTTCCCAGCATCCTTTGTTGCACTTTGATCAGATCAACTGGCTGGTTATCCAGCGTCAGCAGACCCATACAGCCCTGAAACACTTTGAAGGGGTTCCTACACTCCTGACTGCTGCTGCAACCTGGAGAGGGAAACACACAACACTCACTTATTGGTTGGTCCACAGCTGAATTGACAACTGACTTCTCCCCCTTTCCTCAGATAATAACACTGATCGTGGGTACTTTTCCTAGGAATATATTAAATCATATTATAAGTATAATATTATGTCTGAATTCACGTGGGAATGTCTTATTATGTTAATCTCCACAGGATATTCTAGTATAGGGGGTCAAAACTTACAAGTGTTGAAGTGATTATGACTTTTCTGACTCCAAGTGTTTGATCCTTCTTGGCTACCAAGCTGTGAAGGATATTTCTATATTTCTCATCACAAGCGCAAGTTCAGAATTAATGTCAACAAAAGTTGTGACACAAGAAGATAAAGGCCAACAAAGTGTGTTTCTTCTAATGTCATCTTGAAAAAAGCCTCTTTTAGGTTATTAGGCACAGTATCGGTTACCAAGATACTTGTGTGGTTCAAACAAATCTCACCATTCAGCACTGGAGATAGATTCCCCTCTGAAGAGAGACAACATCTAATCAGTCAGGGGTGGAAAGTAATTCAACCCTTTTTGATTGCTGTGAGATACTTCAGTGTCTTCAGTTTCGGCTAGTTTACAGTATACTTCCATTCCACTGCAATTCAGAGGCCCCTGATTTATTTGAGAATGTTCTGCATTTAGAACAACATGGAAGGGGCAGATAAAAAAGTTAGCAGTGTATAATGTGGTTAAAAGGGCTCCACTTTCACCAGCTGTACATTAAAGCTATGTTCACGGACAAAACATAATAGTCTTGTAATTGCACTGTTGAGGAACCTGCGATCTACGTTTTTTATACCATACATCATTACACCATAATTGCGTATATGTTATGACAATAAACCTCACAATATTATAAGCAAAACATTATTCTAAAATCATGATTAGTACATCTAGTACTTTAAGTATAGTTTGATAGCATTTATACTTTTACCTAGGTAAAATAAACGTATTTCTTCCAAGCATGCTGCATGATGAGCGTATTTGGTTGTTTCGTTGCTCTACAGAAATTAAAACTAAAACTTTTTTTCATCAGCAGAGTTGCATTTTTAGATTGAAAGTGCACAAGATGCCTATCATTTGATAATCACTGCAGATTTGTTCCCAAGTGTTTTTTTTCTCCACCTCACTGTCTGTGTACCCTCACGTAAGCTCTTATAATAAAATTAAGGGGGCTATCTTTGGTGACTTTGTTTCTTGCTGTTCTCTTCATGACTGCAAAAATGATTTGGAGAAGTTTTCACACAGTGTTAACTTTTTAGGATTCAAAATTGCTTTAAATCTGTACTTCTTTTATCATTTGGAATGTGTGTTATGTAATCTTAAAACCTGTGTATCTACAGCATTTTCCTTTATTTCTGTGTAAAAGAGTATTTCTGGAATAATTAGAGGGGAGAGCATATTTAGGCGCTGCAAAGACGAAAGAGATAGGGATGAATTAAAAGCGAAGGGGATGGGAGAGCGAAAAATGCATAGAGGAAGGAAAGAAAAGGAAAGTAAAAGGAGAGGATAAAGATAACTTGAAGGAACATAACTTTAAAAAAAGTGAAAGAAAGGATGAGCAAGTAATGAAGAGGGAGATAAAGCCTATTTATGTCTTCATCCCTTTGAGGGTGCCACTAAAACCTCCTAAGTAGATCTGCCGATGATAATTGCCCCCTGAGTGGCCCCATGAATTTTAACCAGTCCTAAATATCAATGTAAGCAGTTTGTGAGGTACAATTGTAAATATTAGACAACAGAAAAGTAGGGTTGAAGATAAACACCCTCAGCTGGAGACAGCACAGATAATGTAAGAATTATTTCACTTACCACCGAAGAAGAGTTGACTGTCTGCGGTTAGAGGAAGTGGGATGCGGGTGTGAGCGGTGGCTCCTTCGTTTTTGTCCACTGTGATGCTCAGAAAACCTTGCTCTGAGTTCAGCTCCACATAATGCCACTGACCATCATTTAGTCCTGAGCCTTCACACACACACACACACACACACACACACACACACACACACACACACACACACACACACACACACACACACACACACACACACACCATAAAAAATGCTATTTGATAACATTGTCATTGTTTCATAAGTCATTCGATTGATTCTTCCCCTTGCTGTTTGGGTTTGACTGCAAATCAGGATGATGACTCTTTTTTAGTTTTTAGTAACTCAATGAAGGTGATGTCAAGCTGTTTATAGTTGTGATAAAACTACTAAATAAGTTTCAGTGTTATAAACTTTGCACACGTTAAGGTTATGATGAATAGTCTGGAGAACTGTGACATTTCAACATTTAATGAGCCAGAATTAACATTTTTGATTTAACAAAACTCTTATAAGCTTTCAGGAGCTCCCCAAATAATGGTGCAGTCTTGTCTGCGTACAGGTTTGATAGAGGTTACGACTTCCCCCCCCCACACTTTATAACCACCTGTTATCATTCGACCAAAGCTCCATACTTCATTAACTACGGTACTTATTTATCAAGAGGAAACCTGTCAGCTGAGCAAGACTGTGAGAAAGTCTAAGCCCTGTGGATTTACTGTTTTATCAAGAACAAAACGTTTACACTAAATATTTTGAACGTAAAGTGCTAAATGAAGCACAACACAAAATGGCTAGGAAACTGCTTTTTATGCCAAGTAATACATGTGTTTATAAAGGCTGTAAAGAACAGTCTGTTTCACGTTAAGTTTTAAAGCCCTGCCATTTCAGTCAACAATACACTCAATATTAATAGATTAGGCCCACATTAGGAAAATTCCAACAGAATTATTTATTTCAGTCAGTTAACTTTGTATTCAATATCTTCCTCATCCCTGTACCTTGTGCCTATCAGTACATACTGTACTAAAACATCAGGCAAAGAAACAAGAAATAGGTAAGAATGATGCTGAATGTTGTAGGCTGTTAATTGGCTGGTATTGTATGTGTATTGCATGAAACTGAGCTGTGAGAACATGTCATGAAATCTCTGTAATACAACTGAACAACACAGGCACCAGAGACACACCTCCCGCTACGTGAAACTCATCAGAATCCTGATTGAACTGACCTGCGCTGAGCTCCAGCCGGGCCCTGCCGGCTTTATTGATCTGTAGGCGCAGTCTAGCCTCACTCAGGTACAGCCACACTGTGCCCTGCTGCTGCGGGAGGTCAAAGGTCAAGAGAAGCCCTCCCTTGTTCCACGTGCGAAACTGCAGGGCCACAGAGAAAAGCCCTGAAGACCACGACGTCAGGCCGGGCACCTGCAGGAAGCTCTGGGAGTCGGTGAACGTCACAGCGACTGACACATGCTCAGCACAAGAAAAGGTCACATTGCCCTGAGGAGGAGAGAGAGAGGATTATGAAAAAGAAAGACATGAATATTCATTGGTTGCAAAGGCTGACTCGGTTTTGACTCGATGTCACTGAGGTCTCCTCAGCAGCTCTCTGCAAAGGACATCTGTATTAACATAATGCTATTAGCTGAGCAGCTAAAATAAGCGATAAAGCCAGAAGCACCGGGTCATGCAGCTTCTGCACCCACTTCCATGATTTGTTTCGCCTCTCTTAATGCCAGCGTGACATCGGGAAATTGAAAATAATACAATGGAAGAACCTTTTCAGAAAAGTTTGATCTAAAAAGTTCAAGGCAGTTCAAAGGCATGAGCATGATTTAAATTTCCATAAAACATTACAAGAAACCTATAAAGGGAATTAAGAAAGTCAGCACAAAGATGTATGATATGGTTAGCATAATGTAGCCAGGGAAATCTCCTACACCGCACAATGTAAGGTACAAATTGTACATTACACCTCATTAGCATAACTTGCATATTCATTTTCAAACCACCAAAAGGTTCCAGTTTTTCTCTTTTCCTCCTCCAGTCACCCTCTTCCCTCCCCTTTCCTCATTTTCATTCCCTACTTCTTTTCCGTCCCGATTCATTCTTCTTCTTATCGCAGTCTCTAGTCATCTTCTTCAGTTTTTTTCTCATTGCTTTGGACTTAGTAAATCAAAAGAAATGTTTAAGTGATGACATTGGAGATGGTAATGGAGGAGATTATGATGATGCTAATGACGTGATGAAGGGTGTGAAAATGAGAAGGATGATGATGCAGATGATGAAAATAACGATTATGACAACAGTAATCCTGAAAGTGGCCGTTAGCATAATAATGACATTGATGCAGGAAAGGGAGAACACTGTGGGAGGAGGAGCACTGAAAGTCTGAAGGGAAGGAAACAGTTTACACTTAAGTTCATTCAGAATTTAAACACCCCCAAACACTGTTCATTCAGAATTTAAATACCCCCAAACACTGCTCAATAAAACAACATCTTACATACATTTCTAGGTAACAATAGGCAAAAAGATGATGGAAGACTAAACAGTGATGTAAAAATGATGATTAATCATAAATAAATATCATGGTTATATAAGAATGCAAAATAGAAACATAGAAATACAGTACCCATAAGCCCTATAGAGATATATCTAGAATTTTCAGAAGGCCTCCATTTTTAAATCAGTATAACTATTTTCACACAGTTACCTAACATATTCATAGTTGATCAATAGTCCAAATTCGAATTAATTCAAGCTCCGGGATATAAACAAACTTTCACAGAGCTGTATCTGAAACCAGAAATCCATCGTTGTATCTCAAGATTTTGTTTATCAGGGCTTCTTAATATTTACACATACCATACTCTAAACTAACACATATCTACATTCACCTTCTGATGACATTGGCTGGCAGATTTCCCTATTGATGTTCCAAAGATGCTGAACCAGTAACTTACCAGCAAAGAGACCTGGTGGTTTTTCTTTTTAGCGAGGTGTATCAGGTTGAGGTCATTGTAGAGAAAGTTCTCCAGGCAGCCATTGAAGTTCCTGTTGGATAGAATGGGTTTCTGCAGGCCATGGCTCTGGACAGCTCCCAGACTCAGCTGGAGAAGAAACAACACATGGAATCTGAACGTTTTCACGGACCAAGGTAAAATTCAAAGGTTACTCCAGTTCTGATTGGGAAAAAGAACAATCGTATTATTCATAGACTCTGTTTGCTCCCGTATCCCTAGTAACGCATCCAATATGAGTTCAAGCTGCTCCCATATTGGACAAAACAACAAACCTTTTCGTCTGAAACATTAAATGTCTTAGTATAGATTAGGCTACCACTTAAAAATACCCTTTTGCATCATAGTCTCCTGAAGATGACATTACAAGGAAATAAAAGTACATTGTCATTTTCCCTATATTTATTTTTGTTCTATATGTATCATAAAGAAGTTTTAAATAAAGTGTATAATAACATGTGGAAGACCTCGCAGTGGGGAGGTCGGTGTGGGTGGATAGGTAAAAATAAACTTATTTTTTCCAAGGAGTTTGCAGTTGACTTCCCATGTAAAACCAAAAGTCATCACTGATTTAGTTTATTATACATCTGTAATTTAAGTAAAGTAACAAACATACTAATGTTATGTCAAACTAGAAAGCTTTTTCTAAAATTGGCCAAGTGGTTTTGTAGCATCACTAACAAGGTCTTTAAAGCTGTGATCGTAATCCGAGAAAAAATGTGTTTACCTCAAAATAAAATTAAGAATGCACTTCAGCTGTACTGGAACGTTATTTTGTTGGAGGCAGAGTTGCTGGAAAGTTTCTCTTACCTGATGAATGTCCCAATGGCTGAGCTCGGCTGGTATGTGAACCTGACGAGTGTTCTTGTCCACGGTGAGGTTGAGGTGAGTGCTGAGGCGCACCAGCTTCACATGGTGCCAGTGCTGGTCGTCCAGCAGACTGCCCACAGAGACAAGAAGCTGCCCACTGGAGGAGGAACTCACACCTGCAGAAGTGATGGTGTGAAACAATCAATTGTGTTTTCTTCATTATAGATAGCTGGGAGAAATAGGCAGAAATCCTCCTAGGTGCATTTCCTGCTGAGGAACTTTTTTTTTCCTGCACTACCTTAAAAAAAAAAGGTTACGGTCAGCAGTCTCTGTCCTCCTCCTTAATGCATTTTTAACAAGGACAAACATACTTGAAGAAATCACTTTACCAAAACAAAAAAAAACATACTTTTTCTGGCAGTAGGAAACCCGAAAGGAAGGTTCATGTGTAATTTATCAACACAAAGTCGTGGATGCGTTGCAGCTAGAGTGGAATATTTAAATCTTTGTTCTAACAGGGAGCGGGTCACTGAGGTCACCTTCGCTCATTAGAGAGCGAATATATTTGTATGCCGGCAGAGAGGAGCACGTTCGATAATGAGACTGCAAAATAACAGCAGGACATAATTAATGACAGCCCAACATCAGCAGGTTCAACTTTGTGGGAGAGAAAGAGTTTCTGCTGACAGAGGGAGATACACCAGAACGAGTGAGATACACCGAGTCGTTGTTTAAGAGCTTATATTTTTATGAGGGTAGATCATTTGACAGGTAAAAAATTTGTAGTATAATGCACTTCATCTACTACAAGTAGTTTATTTGAATGTAATAATTATGTTGTTTGTTGTTGCGCATCATTTATTGAAAAGTCGATATGTTACGATTATAAACTGAAGCAATTTAAAAATGACTCCCATTAACTGAGTTTAAACATCAGCATATCCGGTCATAGTCCGGTAATTACCTGCTAACGGAAACTCTGCTACACAATTCTTATTATTATTATTGAAAGATGACCGGTAAATTTCAAATTTGTCCGGTAAAATAAATTCTGTCCGGACATTTGCCCGGCGAGAAAAAATCCTAGCGGAAACCCTGAGCTCTTCATAAAACCACAAATTGTTGTTTTTTCATTTCAGTAATTGTATTAGACTAATGAGACACCATTTGTTAATGTTTGAGGTTTTAAGTCATTGAAATTAATTCAGCTGGGTTTACATTTCAACAACTTAAAGTTCAATATAAGTAGGATTTAAGATTTAACCAAAAACTGTGAACAATCACACACTGCTAAATGTAGGTATGTTGTTTTATTATCCTAAATTCTCATATTTAATTTGTGTTATCACTTTAATTTTACTGCTCAATATGTTTACATAATACTTATTGTAATATCTGTCTTTTGTGTTACTTCTTAGCTTTTCAAATCTAAGTTATACGTTATTTCAATTGTATGTATACTGCTTTGTATTTCTATATCAAGGACAAAATGAAGGCTAGAGGCACACCCATGTGCTTCTAATAGACAATCGCTTAAAAACTTTAGATCAAGCCTTGACTTTTGTGTCCCCCTGCTTCCAGTTGTTAAGCTAAGCTACTGTAAGCAAATTGCACAGATATGAGAGCTGATAACAGCATTTCCTAAAATGTCTAATTATTAACTTTGAATGCAATTCGATGAGGTGGCATAATTGGTTACAGCTTTATTAAGTGGAAATAGAGGTGTGGATCAATACAAAAATCTTAGGGGAAAAACTGTCGTAAAAACATTTAACGAAAATGTAATGAAACTTCCTCTCCGTCAGTTTTAATTCCCCTCACTCCTCTTCTCCTGACCTGCACTCTTAAAGCACCAAACAAAGAAGAGAAGAAGCACCGCTGGGTTGAACTGCAACAACTGCTGGGTTTGTCCATCCTGAGAACACTAATATTGAATGTTCCTGTCTTTAGCTGAGGTGTCTGCGCTGAACACCACTTTTCACTTTCCGGCAGTCTACCATTCGAGACAGCTCCCTGAGGCGATATCACCTTATCATATTCTGTCTGCTGCTCCATTACGGATCGTTGCTCGAGCTGTAAATCTGTTTATGAAGGGCGGCCATGACAGGCCTTATCAGGAGACGGACTGTCATAATTGTTTTAGCAGCAGCGTCACGTGATGCTACTGTTTGAAATACAGCTCGACTGTAAAAATAATGTTATTTCTCTAAACGAAATGTAGTTACAGGTGGTAACTAAGTGTATTACCATAAAACAAGCTGGAAGGGCAGGGATATTAATGGGAGCAATGTCACAACTAAGCCAAGTAACCGTCTCCAAATAAAATCAATTAATTTAATTGGGGCTTTATTGGATAGTATTTGTGTTTGTACTATCAAGTCACATTTGACATTTTTAGAAACACTAAAAGGTAATAGTGAAAAAAAGAACAGGACTCAAACAACTTATTCAATTCAAAACTTGATACACAATGTATAAAAACAGGAAGAAAAATATAAACAAAAAGCAGGTACAGCTTTAAAAAAAAACATTATGTTTTATATGGGGCTGAATAGGGGGAAGAGTTGCTGTAAGCAAATGTAAAAAATGATGAATTGATGACCAAAAGATAATCAGCAGATAAATTGATAATGCAAATTGTATTGCACCCAGAGTTATTCAAGATGTTCTAAAGGAAGAGTTATTTTTCATGGAGAGTGTTTTCATTCCAATTTCATCTTGATTGCTTCATATTTTGGGAATTCTAAAAATAAAATGCCAAGTTTCAACAGGCTAAATAAGCTTGCTGGCGTTTAGCAAGTCTATTTTTCAATGCACATGACCTTTGTCACATTTTATCCCTTCTCTTCCTCCATAAAAATGGCAAAAATAAGCTCATCTCCCGCTCAGCTATACATGTGGTTTATCATCTTTATATTTTTGAGCTACAAAGTGTATTGCTGCTGCAAAGAGAAACAATCAGCAGTAAGCAACATATTATTCAGCATAGGAGTGTTACAGTAAGAGTCCCATGGCTATCTTTGCAATTTCATGCTCCTGTGAAAATACAGAGGCTGCCGACTGAAACTCTTATAAGGCTGGTTACAAAAAGAAACTCCTGGAGGCTCACAGTATATCACTAGAAAAATTGGAATGGAGTAAGCAAATGAAACAGTAATCGCCACGATTCATTGTTTCCTGCCAACTGGCACACTTTGTCCAGGGAGATTCATCTTTTTTCACCAGAACTCCACAGCACATAGACACATCAGATTGTATATGTTTTTGCTTTGTGTGATGAGAGAAACATTCCATGTTTTATTAGCTGTAATCTGAAACAGGTGTTTTTTTTACACTGATCACCGATCATAGGAAAATGTTCAATAATATCAATCCTCATTAACAAGTCTAGTAAACGTCAGCTGAGGCCAAAACAAAACATTAGTACATAAGAAAACACATTGTTGTGCCACTGCCCACATTATAATTTTTTTGCAGCTCCTGGATGATTTTTGACGTGCTTCTGGATCCATATTTTTCATTCACTGTATGTCATCATAGTTTTTGTCATTTGGTCTGTGTTGTATGTATGGGCCTTGTTACCTTTTAACTAACACATATTACAAGATTGATCATGTAATGCCACAGCATGCCCTATATACAGTAGTGAAAAGACATAATTCAGCTTAACATGCCCTGCACGACTTTCTGATGCCATCCTAATTTAGCCAGCTATACTTAACACCGCCTCCTACAGAGCGCAGTGGAGCAGGACCCAGCAGCCCTCGGTGTATTTACTGCTGTGTGTTACAGCTTCCCGGTGACAGTTCAGAATTGAACTGAATTATGAGGCAGTTGGCTGCATTAGTGCACACTGAAGTTTTGATGAATGTAAAGCAGAGAGAGAATAAGATGGTTTTGTATAGCGGACATAAATCTTAATGAGCCAGCCAATGTATTCCAACTGCTTGGACAGCCACTGACAGACAGAGAACTAACTGCTGCTCTGTTGTATTCTTCTGTTTGCTGTACTGCATTTGTGTCTTTCTTTCTGTTTTGATACAGCATTAGTTTATGCTAATGGAAGTTACACTTGCTAAACATCTGCAATGGTCAATTCCTTTTGTTTCTGTCCCCTGATACACAATGCTAGCCATCATTTGCTGTCTTGTCTTTAGCTCCTCTGTGTCTCAGCCAGCTTGTTCATTTCATGATGCGACATGCATCACTGTTAAAGCGAGGTGCTGGGCCGACAGGATCAGGTTGCCAAATTGGAGAGATAAAGAATGAAGAGCCCCAGGGAGAAGCACTCACACTGTGGAGCTATGGATATAATGCATCTAAATCTTCAGGTTTTATCTCTGCCCCCCTAGTTGGAGCCCCTCTTCTCTTCTCTTGAGCCAACAACTGACTGTGGAGGAGTATGCTGGGACTCATGGTGGATGCTCCAAGCTATTGATCTAAATTACACTGTCTGTAGACTGCAAACTCCTGGGAGAGTGTGAGGCAGGGGGGGAGGGATGTAAAAGAGAGGGATGGAGAGAGAAAGACGAAGAGCATGCAATTGAAAAAGGCAAATAATCGCCTGCAAAAAAAATCTAGCAGGAGCCGAATTGGGTCGACATATGAGAAAGGCAGTGATAAATAACAACGGAGAGAGAGGAAAATAGAAAAGGCAGAGAGGCAACGGGGGCAGCTAGGCAGGGAATTAATAACAAGAGCCAGAGAGAGAAGCGTGCAGTGACAGGGCTGTGATTGAAGGTTGTTTTTTTCAGTATTGGCTGTATCACTGGATTATCATAGCTCAATCTAATCTCTGCTCCATTACAAAAAGCAGCAGTGTTTGTTTTCAATCCCGGCTAGCAGCAGTTCTTTGAGCAGTTTGTTGACTCTCGGCGCAGGTCGACAGGGAAATGTGACAGGTGTCACTCAGTCTGACTGATGGCTTTTGCAGATAACGCCTCTCTTTCTCTGACAGATAGACAGACCCACCAGGGAATTAAAGCCCTTCCCAACTAAAGGGAGTTTGACAATATTTTGGTTTTATTGTAGGGATGTAGAGTGAGAGTGAGAGCGAGAGAGGGAGGTTAAGACAAGTGTGGAGGATGTGAGGAAGCAGAAAAATAGATAAACTACGGCTGAATTCAGAAAACATTTTCGCCATAATCTACTTCATATATGACTGTTGTATGCATTTAATGAAGGAGGTCAACTTCAAACATCATCACTAAAGTATCATGCAACTATAGTAGCAAGATGTTCATAAGAAATCCAATCTTGAAATGTATTCTATAAATGTAATGTTAGCCAAGTCGTCCAACTACATTTCATGCTTAAATTATACTAACTAAGGCTCCGGTCACTGTAACATCCTTGGTCCATGTCACACAATAAAGACTTAGCTACACTACTCTTTTGTATGCTTATGCTTGTGTTCATTTTTCATATATCCGGCCATTAAATATTCTCATGCATGCCAACTCAAAATGTCCCTCCTTTCAGTGTCTCTCAATCGTGCTATCAGCTTTTCTAATCAGCTCAGGTCCATCCAACGTCACAGCAACACACATGTGTAGCATATCATGTTGCTGCTGGTTCTTTTGAAATATGATTCTCTCTTTGCCTTTCCTGATGCTGTTACGCACATCCCTCCACCACCCCATCACTGCCCGGTCTCTGCAGAGTCATCAGCCACCTCCACCACAAGTGATTGGACTCCCTGGTGGATTCATTTTGCTGCTGCTCAGGGCGAACTCCTCTTAATGACACATCTCACCATAGAGCCTAAGCACCAAGGATTTACTGTCTAGACCTAACAAGCAAATATCATAAAAGCATTATATTTTGTATTGACTTGTCTATCCTGCTTAAAGTGTCAGTTATCTAAAAAAAAGAGGAATGAAATATATACAGGACTGTCTCAGAAAATTAGAATATTGTGATAAAGTTCTTTATTTTCTGTAATGCAATTTGAGAAACCGGCTCGAGATACACTTTTTGTTATATTCCATGGAATGCTCTTAACATCCCGATAGCAATGAATATCTTAAGTGCTTTGACAAGAAATCCATAAAATAATGTCATCTGTGGAAGCCGTAGTACTGTAAAAAGCACGACCAATCATTTTAGCCGGCCCGGCTAAAGTAACTTGATGGCCTACCTGCCTGTCAGCCTTCCATCTTTGCACAAACTTATCTCGTGCCGTCATTGGTCATGTGCGTGTTCGTGTGTGTTGGAGGAGGGGCTCTGTAAGGAAGTGGCAGATTTTTTCCGGTTGTGTATTTTCAAATTCTAGCGCACTCGAGCTGGTTTCTCCAAAATTACCCACCTTTAAGTGTGACCAGATTAGACATGCAAGATAGAGGCTCAACTCCAAAAATCAGAAGAACAGAATGGGAATCAACAGGGTGCATACAGTACACCACTAAAGTTATCGCTAAATGCTCGTAAACAATCCTGAAACCAAACACACACAATTCTAAACTCGGTTCAGTACCTTATTTATGGCCACACTCTCCTGGTTCATCCTTACATCTATTCTACAAATACTGCACGAGTCAAAATAAAAAAAAAGGATCCTTTAACTCTTGAAAGTTCTGAATATTAAGAGTAAAAACCCTCTTGTAACATATTACCAGGATGTGATCTTTTCAATAGACCTTCCATCGTAAATGCAGAAAAGAAAGCCCTGTTTGGTAAGCAGAGCAGCAGAGTACTCCAGCAGCCAGATGGCATATTTGATGCCGTATGGTGTTGATATGATGGTCTGGCAGTCTGACAACACCTAAGATTTCACCTCATTTACACCAACAGAAACCCTCACACACTCACACACTCATTACCTCCCATAGCTTCAAAGTACTGCGTTACGTGCAGTGAGAGGCCATGGATCGTGTTATACTGTGCCGGCACACTGTGCACCACAGAGTCCATCCTTAACACATGTTGCTTACATCCATCATCAGATTAGAAGAGAGGGAGCATGAGAGTGGATGTCAAGCTGAGAGAGAATTGAAGCGAGAAAGAGTCGATGGAGGAAGAGTAAGGAAAGATTCAGGGAGAAACTAAGAGTGAGAGTTTCCCCAACAGAGGATGCTGCCCTCCTCCACACTCATTGACCTGTAACTGCACGCCTGCTACAGCAAACTGCACCAATTCCCCAAGTTTATTCAATATCTGATTAGTTTTGTCTGAGATATTGCTTGCGACATATGGATAAACAAGTAAACACTCTACTGAGCTCATCAGCATAAGCAGAAAGAGGCATAAATTGGATCAGCGCTATCTTAGAAATCACATTTGACAAACAATCAAGCAATCCAGCAGATGGACGGAGACAGACTTAAAGCTCCCTCCATTTTATTATGGGGACAGAACTGTGCAAGATATTACATTCCTCATATAGAGGCGGGTTGGCGGATGCTCAGGAGCCTGAGAGAATAAAGTGCATAATTACACTGTACGGTTTAGGCGTTTAGCTGACATTTACTCAGAGCAATGAACAGTGGATGAATAGGTGTAGCTGCAGAGTTTGCTGGAAAAGCCGTTACAAAACTATTCAATTCAAATATCCAAAGTTTCAGCAACCTTACAGCTTTCAATCCACGTCTTTGGAAGGTTGAATATGGCTGTTTTTTTCTAATTTGAACTGCATTCACTCTTAATCAGGTGAAAAATAGTCAATGATCAAAATGGATGTTAAACATTTAAACCGGCATGACTTGATGAACAAAGTAGTAATTATGTATCTATCCAAATACTCTTTTAATTTAAAATATTATATATAATAATTAAAAATATTGCAATCTACATTTTGTTGTAGCTTTTTATTCAGAAATAAAGTATTTTAAAGAAGATTGCAGAAGTAGATTTTGAGTGATGATATTATAATGCTTGTCGGAGCTATAGCGATATACAGACACTCAACAGGTAATACAATGCACAATGTAGTTACTGTATGTTTACATATACCGTAATGTGATGATGTGCTCTAACAGCTTTTAATGCTATCTCTAGCCATTTTTATGATTCCTCGTTTTATTTTTCATTCATTTAATTCAAATATGTCTTTATCTGTTTTCTTGCCTCTTAGCTTGTCTCTGTTCTGCTGTAAGACAATGTTCTTATATAAGTATTGGAAGAAAGATGTCAGTACCTTGTTGATGGTAGAGCAGCAGCCGTCCCTTCTCCAGCACCAGAGTGAGGCTGGAATCTCTCTGTCCCTCTGCATGAAGCAGCGTCCCAGAATTCGTCAGGGTTTTGAACTTCAGAGAAACGACCTCCATCCCCGTCCAGCTCGGCCTCACGCTGCGTCTGTAGAGCAGGCTGCTGCTGCCGTCAAAGTAGGCCACGTCAGAGGCTACAGAATGACACACAGAAATAGACAGAAACTACTAGCAAAGTACTGAAAACCACTTCTGTGTTCCTATCACAGTAAGTGTCTCCAGAAAAATAATTTTCACCATTATGACAGACACACCACATTTGAGTAATTCATATAACATGCTGTGCAACGGTAAGTTTGAGGCAGAGACGAGTTTCAACACAGAGTGCCAGACAGCGGTGAGCAAAGACTTCATATTATAAATGGCAGAAAATGTTGTTATTGGGCTCGGAAATAGGATATTCCTGTTTTTCTATGATTTTTATAAATTAAAAACTGAATGTCTTTGAGATTGGGACTGACAAAACAAGACAACAGGGTCACTGTGAACTCACAAACAACAGCCTTTATTTCCTGGTTCATGATTGGATTTGTATCGTTTGAAGGTACGGATGTCCTGAACAGATATCTTTAATGACCGTGAAAACCGTTGGCCCATTTATGTACAAATCCCTTTGAGGGAAAACCATATGGTCTCGCGTCTGCTACTGAAGACAGAGCAGCAAAGAAGACCAGCAAGAGTAATTATGTTTTAATGTTGAGAGAGCAGAATTGGAAGGAATCTGTAATATAAAAATAAACGTGTTACCTTAGTGTTTTCCTCAAAGCTCTTAGCTCTAATTAAAAACAGATGTTATAATGGGGGAATAAAATGTGAAATTGCAGCATTGTTATCAAGTGTGACTCAAGAATCCTGCACATTGTGGACCACTTGCACCCAGTTTATGTTCTATCTAGATTCTTCACAGTGTTGGTCCTAATGAATGTTTCTAGTGTGTATTTAAACTTATTGCAATAATAGTTCTTTTGTTCATAGGCCAGATAATGAAATTTGAAAATCTAGTACAACATTACACGTTTATATATTTATTCTTCAAGGACAAACACAATCCAAATCGGACATAAAAAAAGTCAATACATGGAGCACACTTACTATAACGACAACCGTATATCTCCAGTCTGAGTCCAATCCTCCCAGTGGGGTTCCAGTCCAGAGGAATCAGGCGGAGGAAGCGAGCTATCACCGGTTGATTGAGTTTGTACTGGACCACAGTGTCTGCATTACTGTTACCTGGAAAAGCCTGAAAAAAACAAACAAGTTAGCTTGTTTTTTTTATTTCGTCCAACTGTCTCTGATGCTGCTGCAGCAAAGATCTGAATGCAGTTCCTGAAGTTATTAGACAGGAATAGAGGATCGTTTGTACATTAATGCTCATGATCAAATGTTTACTGTTAACTAAGAAAATGTATTATCTATAAACGTTGTGCAGCCATTCTAAGAGCAACTATCTTCTAACCTTCTTGTTTTTAAAGTATCAAATGATTATAGAAACATGTATGTGATGAAACAATATTTTTAAAGGGATAGTATTCATTAGCACAGAAAACGTCTCCCTCCTGATGCTGAGACAGTCTTTTTCAAACTTTAAACTCTCAGAGATTGATCCACTGATAATATCTCTCCCTCTCTCTGTCCAGTCATCAATAACTCTGAGACGTATTCTGTCTCTATACAAAGCCTCTCCTAAAAGACTAATATCCTTTACTTTCCCAACAAGCTTCCTGTGGGAATTCAGGGGGATTCTCTACTTGACAGTCAAACAGCACACAGAGAGCGACACATGCCACCTGTAAGGAAAGTGTGCATGCTTCAGTCCTCCCTTCTTGAGAGTGTGTCTGCTGAGAGTGGCTATGTGAGTGAAATTGGCTTCCCTCGTGCTGTATAATTGTGATCTCGGTGCCGTCTTCAGAGCTTTGAAGGGCTGAGCCGGCCGGGTAGCGAAGCGTTACAGTAAGCTCAACAAACGGCTCTATTTCCTGCTGAGGAGGCTGGGGAGAGCGGCATCTCATTTACTTGCCTGACCAAGTTTTGAAACATGAGAAGCCTCTGACAAGACCTCACTCAAGGAGAGAGGGAAAGGTAGAGGGTGAGACAAAGAGGAGAAGGAGGGAGGGCCGGAGAGATAATCAGAGAAGAAGAGTAGATAAAGTACAACTGTTCTTTGAGAGAAAGCAGCAATAGCACACTGTAGCAATGCTTAAATACAAATAAAAGCATAACAAATGGTCTCTAAGTACGAGAACATAATGACATTTAATTAAAGTAAGAATACACAATTAAGCTAAAGTACACTACTTGATTAAATGTAATTAGTGACTTCACATCACTGAAAGATTTTGACAAAGGCACAGATACAAATGTCATATTCACTGAATGCTTTCAAATTAATAATGAACTACAAGGGCATTCATAGAGCACAGACCTCCGCCAAGACCAAATGCCTTGTCTGGCATAGTTAACGGTTCTATATACGACACTAGCCCGTGATTCTAATCCGCTCCAAAATGTAATGACTTAGTGTACTTTAGCTTAATTGTGCATTCTTTGCCCATGTTTCACACTACCACTAAGTTTTATAAAAATCAGGCCAGTAGTTTAAACTTCGAGGATGTTAAATCATGACATTTCCTTGTAGTGGATTAGTAAACAGTGGCAGCAATTACTCTTTAAAAGTTACACCGGAGAGTAAAGGGGGAAAAGACAGAGCATCAAAGTTGAGAATTCAGTGAGAAACTGATACAACCATTTGTTCAGTCAAATCTCCTCCTGAACCGACACACTAAGCTGGCCTAATTTAAATACGGAGCTTAAAAAATACTCGGGAGAGCTGATCTGGGTTTATCACCTTTCATGCCGAGTGTCAAACCAACAGGTTTCTAAGCTGCAAGAATTCATACCCTGCTTTCTCTTTTTTTTTTGTGATGACTCCCTGGCTTCAGATAGTTTGTATCCTCCCCTGTAAGAAACTTGCACTGTCTTCCATAAAAGAGAGAGGGGATGCTTGACTGCCTCTGAATCACATCTAATGCTGTTCAATCAACGGAGGCCGGCATGGCAGTAGTTTGCTTGGTGGTGATCAGTCATTCTGCAGTCTGGTAACCTCTCTCGCTATTGACACGTGGGATGGGAATAAGTAGATTAAAATATGCTATAAAATGCTGGAAAATAAAGATTTTGAGAGCGGAAAATAAATACTGGGAAACATTTGCAAACATAGAAGAAAAAAAGACAGCAACAGCAGCCATCCCCCCCAGGCTGCAGCGAGGACTTGATACACGAACTTGAGCATCATGTGCACAGAAACATGCATGTCAGCTTCCTCGTTCACATTTACATTTCTGACAGCCTTATCAAGACTGGCAAGTGCCATCAGCGTCTTGCGAGGAGAATGATGGACACCTTCGCCCCTGCAGGAATCAAAGTCATGACTTTTTATATGACACGCAGTCTTCTAACAACAGCACCAGCCTCCCGTCAGCAGAGGTTCAACTGTTTGACAGCAGCCCCATGCTGTCGACAGAGCCCTGCCCAGGTTCCTTTTATTGCTCCATACATTATTAATAGAGTGTGAAAGACTCCTGGTGAGCAGGCTTGCCGCTGCAGGCAGTACCCGTCCCCACAGATCATGTAAATTATGCCTATGATATGAAGGTGCCACCTCCAAAGCTGCCTTGATAGCTGTTAAAAGACACAATGTGGTATGAATTCTGAAATTGTATTTAAATGCAAGCAACTACAAAGGACAATTTCCTAAATCATACTAGAATTTCTACGTTTTTTTTTCTAGTAAGAACTTTTTCCAGTTGTCAATGAGAGGTTGACACAATAATCGTTCGAAATAGGTTGAATGTAGCCCGTATTTTTGGAATAATGTTTCTGGTGAATTTCTGTTTGTTGACTGGAAAAGTATCAGCTATTTTTTTGTTACAATTAAACAGATGAGTGTTTGAGAGAGATGTTCAAGCACCTCTTACCTCCCCTGCTCCCATCTCTGATGTCAGAATAGTGTATTGAGATGGGTTTTTCAGATAGTGTTTAACTATCTGACAAGCAGGTTGTTTGGAGCATGTGACACCTTCATTTTCTGCTGTCTGGAGCAATATCACTATTTTCACAAGCATTTCCTTTCGGTATACGCTTTGACTAACCATATTCTTTCAGGTGAACAGCATTCTGTGCTTTATTTAACACATTTTGAGAAACCTGTCACTGGCTCTAAACTCTGTGTGTCAATCACATTTTCATTAGTGTCACAAACTAGCTCTGGGATGTGAGAATAAGGTGAGAGTCCAAGCAATATATATGCTTTTGTTTATCTACTTACTTTACTTTCTGTTTTGCAATAGCCTTGCACAGTATAGGAACCCCCGTTTGCTGGGAATTATGTTGTTGAAGTTTGAGTGGAAATGTAATGTCTACCTGTATTGTGTTCATTGCACTGCCATTGTTTGTTCTAATGTGGCAGCAATCGTGGGAAAACCCAAACATTAGCAACATTTCCCCCCAATACAAAATGTAATCTGAGCAGCGTTAACATTCTTTTAAAATGTAGAGTTACCTCTAGGCTGTCTTCCTGTCGATGTTGTCTCCAGTTGTGTCCTGTGTCGCTGAACATCAACAGGTAAGACGTTAGCCAATCAGAGCTGCCGTAGCGTCCCTGCGTAGCAACAGCAGTGATCCGGGTCCGCTTCCCCAGATCCACCTCCAACCACTGGTATCTGTCCGAGACGAGAGGGGACCAGCCTCCAGCTCCTGCACAAGAGACAAGAGTGTGTTAATGATGAGAGGGGGAGGGAGGGAGGGATGGAGACACATTGTGGGAGTGAAATGTTATTCATTATATTTTAATCTATTGTTTACATCTGTGCATTTATGGAAGAAAACAATCATTGCTATGAGTTAATAATTAATAAGCCAATAATACATCCACAGTTTGGATATATAGTAAATACTTACTGCTTGTTTTTGTGTTTGCATAATGTCCATAGATTAATAGTTAGGGGTTTGCAGATGACAGGAATGTCAAAGATTAGGGTTGACATACTTGATAATGCACTTTTTCTCGAGTTGCAAGTACATGCACATTAAGAGGAATCCGTGCTTTTATGTTGAATTAGACTATAGTTTATCCCATTTCTGGCTTTCATTTAAGACCACTTATCCACTCAGAACATTTCAAACCCTGCAATATATTTAACACGTCCCCTGGCTTCATGATGGTAAATATTAAATCCTTATAATCAAAGACATTAAGGGGGATACATTTGAGCCACAAACACTTTGAGAAAACTGGATTAGACTGTGCAGCCATAGCACGGTATTTAAAGAAAACTGATGACTCCGCACAACTGAAGTGTTAAGATGTGTTTTGGAATTGAATGTACTTCCTCTGGTTTGTATCGGTCTACCATGTTGACAGAGCTATTGTGCTGAGTGGAATATAGTGAGAAATCACATCAGCATTGATATGACCTAGTACTGAGCTGAAGCGGTTCTGTCTTGTCAACAATCACTTGCAGCACTGACATCCCCCCTTTGTTTTTCATGGCAACATGCTCCCTTTCTGTCCTGGAGACAGCTGTTGCAGCAGCTGGAGAGGGCATCCAGGGGTGAATGATATTAATTACAGTGTGTTTATATTGTAGTACAAAACACGTCAGTCACTTCAGATCTGTAAAACCATGGAGCATGTCTGTCACCAATTGCAAACTTTTATGGATAAATAATGTAAAAAATATAATAATTGTGACAATAATTCGATTTGAAAACCACTGTAATAACTGTATTTAACATGTGTTGAATGTGTACTGTGTGTCGGTTCATTTTTAAACATAACATAGTTATAAAACTAATTTAAAAAATAGTAATTTTCACTTTAAAATGGTTAGTTGTGTTTGTGCTAGAAAGAGTTATATTCATTGCATTATTATTATTCATTATAGATTAAGACATTCAAATTAAACCCTGATATATTCCTGGACGTTTTTATATTATTTCACTCATTTTAATGGTTGCAATATAATTGCACGGTATTAAAAACAGATGGCTTAGAAACTAAAACAAGACTAGCAAGTAACAAAATGGCCTTGTTCTGAATACTGAAACTAGAAACTCAGAAGAAAAGACAGATGTGCAGTCTGTATCCTTGCAAGAGAAAGAGAGACAGCAGAGGAAGAAAGGCAGAGAGTGATAAATGTACCTTAAAAACAGTAGCTAACCCTTTACTCGCTTTAAAGGTTTTCGGCCTTTAAAATGGCTCTTATTAGTTGTCATGATAGATTTAAGGCGCTATGGCCCTACTCTACCTCTTAATAAGTTTAGGAGGCAATTATCCCCCATTGGTAGCTGGATCACCACAGGGAGGTTCAAAGGTGTTAGGCACCCTCTTGTTCTAGCCTTGGTAATCATGACTGTAGAAAATGAGGTGTCATCTGACATAAATAAAGAACAACAAAGTATGCATGAAGGCGAGTTAGGGGAGGATGGTTTGGTCAAACCAACACCAAACTCTTTCCCAGGATACCACTGCTTGTGTCCCCCTCACAAGTCAACACGTCAAATTGCCATTTACTGATTAGATGCCTTTGCAGAGACTTTGGCAACATTCATTCAGCTGCATTTTTGTACAACTTTGGATGCATGTGTGTGCGTGTGCGTGTACGTGTGCGTGTGCATGAGAGAGAAGGGAGGACTTTGGCAGAACCTGATTATGGGAAAATCATTGGAGGTGATTGAAAAGGCTGCTACTTGATAAAGACATTTTGGATGCTGAAAAATGTGTGAATATGTGAGTGTGTTTAAAAACAAAAAGCGCTGAGGCAGCACAAAGCATATCCATGGCACAGCAGATGGAGTCCCCTACAGAGCACACACACACACACACACACACACACACACACACACACACACACACACACACACACACACACACACACACACACACACACACACACACACACACACACACACACACACACACACACACACACACACACACACACACACACACACACACACACACACACACTTAATAAACCAGCCAGCCTAAAGAGCATTGGAGATTGTGCCAAGATGATGTCATGCTGACTCGAGGCCAACACAAATCAATACCACAACACTTCAGACACAATGCCTGGATATCTCATTACATCTATTAAAAAGCTACTTAATTGTGGAATAGCAAATGGTCATAACACAACAGAGCATGAACCTCATTAGTTAAACATAATGTGCTATTGACACGGAGCAAGGAGACAGTCTGTAATGTGGTTCATATTGAAATGTGTTGATTTAACAATGGCTCAGTCCAGGTTTGTGTCTCTGTAAAAAACTCCAGTGGGCAAGAACACAAAATATACCCCAACTTTGTTGATTAGCCGTTTATAGTGTAAAGTATCATCTATATAAAATAAATACTCTGGTGTGTAATCAGTATTACAGTCTCAATCAGAGCTAAGGAGTTTTAGTCTTTTTGTACCGTAGTGTTTATATTAATTATGTAATTACACATCTATAATGTATGCATTTTAAGTCTACATATTCCACGTCCAGTTGGAATCAAATGTTTGAGAACAAATACAATTTAGGGATGAATTGAGTAAAGCAGTTTCTAGAACTTATCTTAATGTTGTCTTTAGTGAAGAAAACTGATTTTCCCCAACTGCATCATGATGTGACTATGTCACTGTCATTGTTCATGTAATTGTGACATTTCAACTTAAATCATTTATTTTGTTGTATTGCAGCAAAATCTTGTGGTGTGATCAATAAATACAAAGCATTGTCACCAACACAAAGAAACATTCCCACTTCAACGTGATCTCCTTCATTTCTTCATAAACTCAGGTGTGGAGCTATAAAATAGATGTGGTTTAAATTGGCTGTAGTTGAATCAGTTGAGTCTGAGGTTTTCACGAGTGCGTAAGTGTTGTTCTTTTTGCTCATTAGGGAAGCAGCTAAAGGCCAGAGCTAATAAGTATCAAAGTAACAGACATGAACACTGACAGCAAAGCAAGAGAGAGCAGATACATGACCTTTACTCATTAAGGCTCGAGTGGAGAGGGAAGAAGTGAAGAACACAGACAAGAGTGATGGAAAGAGAGGAGACAGATAATCTGACATCCACAGTACACGATCACAATGGAGGAAACAAGAAGAGAGGGAGTTTAAGAGACATAAAGAGAGAGATGTAGATATCTATCTAAGAAAGTAAAAGAGCTCAAAATGGAAAGCAGAATGACTTCTGTAAAGAGAAAATGTTTCACTAAATCCGTCATGTTCGTCACACAACACGTTTGATCACCTAAACAATAATGTCTTTCATGCATGCCTGTCAATTCCCATCCAGGAAATCCACATGCTGTCCCTACTTATTGACACTAAAGCTTTTTCCCACATTCAGAAAGGTAATTAAGGGTAAAACAGGTAAAAAGCATTGCTCGGCGGGAAAGTCAAATTGGCCCAGTATCACAATGAATTAACCAGTCAGGAGACTGTGACCTTTGAGGTCAACACACCTGAAAACCAAACACCCCCATTAGCAGCCAGGGTCTGAGGTTGAATAAGTATGTTGGAAGGTCATCAATCTGAAGGAACCTTTCTGTGTGAATAATTCTTCTTTCCACACGTAATAACTTTCCAAAGAGTCTTTGAACCTGCTAACCGTGCAAACTGTTCACTGTCAAACCCATAAGGGGTTCAAACAAATCACTGTAGATCCATTAAAACACTATGTCTGGTGATAATAAGCATCCCAGGCCCCTATAAACCATAACTACTCATTCGCAATATTTTTCTCAGAAGGGCCACTGATTTCCTGGAATAAGAAAATCATCAAAATGTTAGATTTGATGTCAATAATGTTGAAATAAGGGATACATGGATTAAATTGGGATAAGTTGCTTCCCTTGTTGCATTAAAACAATTCGTTTTTGAGCCGATTTTCTCTATAGCAGTGTACAGTGTGCATGCAATGTATTCGTGAGTCAGCCTTTATAACCACATCTATAAAGACACAGTCATAATTCCCTTGAAACTCTGTAGAACTGTTTTTCTAATTTAAAAAATAAAATAAATGTTCTCACATGTCTCAACATAAAGACAAGCCTTTTATTTTCTAAATAAAATAGTCTTAAAGGGAAAAAAGGTTTCTCTAACGAGTGTGACCTGGTTTCCCAAGGCTATGTATGTGCTTGTCGATAGGAGACTGTGCGGCTAAATTCCCTTTGAGTTTGAACATGGTTGCTAATCAGAAACACATTTTAATTAACCTAGTTAAAAGTATTATATAAGAGTGCAAATGTTTCATTATTAAAATATATTCATGCAGATGCCAATTAGCAACTATTTTTTCTACTTAAAGGTCAGTCCTGCGCATAACTTCTGAGGGTACATGGCAGATTTTGGTGTCCATGTTCTCATTTACTGAAGTTTTCCAATAGTGCATCGGTCCAAATAAATAAATATGCGTCATTGCTGCAGATCATATGTGGATTTATTTGGGCTAGTATTAAAGCTTCAAAGAGAATGTTATTTTGGATGCTTCCTTCTGGCGCTGTGTTAGGATACAGGCCAGAGACGTGTGGTGTCAGGGGTGGATTATGACTTTTTTATTACGAGTGGGAGAATCAACAAAAATTCAGAGAGAGCAAGTTCAGATCCCACAGCAGCCGGTTTGTGCTCTTTTGAGGCCAGTATTTCACAGGTAACCTTGATTTACTCTAGAAAATAGCTCCATCTCCGTGCCTAACTCT